CAACCCAAAACAGCTAGGTTGTGCACTAGTTTACTTACACTAGGTTAAGGCTTCTTAAGTGTTTTCTGGAAATACTTCTGTGTGAGTGGATATTAAACACCTATACACATGATTTGGTCAGCTTTTTTGTTGTTCATGCCAAGTGCTGCATTTTGGCTGCCTTTTTACGTGGTGTCATCTTAGCCAAAGTTTCTTGATGTCCACGGACGTAAAAGCGTCAATGAATAGGAATCATAATGTCCAAAATTTGAAATAGGGAATTTTTTTTTTTACCTGTTCATAATCTCTAGCTGAAACTTAGAATGTCCTTGAATTAGAATGACTAACCAATAAAAATAACATATTTTTATAGGTTGTTGTAAGAATGTTGAAATAGCATTAATACTCGTACTATTAAAAGGTGTTATTTAATATGTTAACAAAGACTCAGTGTTACTGTTTTTTTTTTTTTCCAAAAGGTGGTTTGATAATTAATTTAACACTATTCGTCGAATACAATTGTAATCCTATGCATTATTTTACATACTTTATAAAAAGAAGCCATAGGCTTCATCAGACAGCCAGAGTGCTCCTCAGGCTGAAAAGTGTTACGAACCCAAAACCTTTATGTGAAAGTTGGTGGCTGCACTATTGTGAGGGTCTGAAATCAACTTTCCTGAATCACAAAAACTATTAGGAAACTCTCAGGGTCTGAGCTGAAGTACCTTTATCTTTGAAAAGAAAATTAGTTTACTTTCGTTTTCCCTTAACTTCTCACTTAGCATTCTTATGCATTCTCACTTAACGATCATCATAAATATTAGATCCATACTGATGTTTGTCTATTTGGGGCGTTGGTGTTTGGGTCTACTTTGAAAAAGGCCACTGCACAACTATACTACACGTGAACACATACAAGCACATTCTCCAGAGTGCTCAGTAAGACCTCACCTATCTGGACTCATTTCTGTAATTAGGTCTCTTTTAAAAAATTAAATTGTGTCCTAAAACAGAAAACGACTAAACAACGGTTTAAGTTTATATAGAATCAACCACAGCCAGTGCCTTGCTTGGATATGATGGCCACTGTTTCCCTATTAAGAATTTTAAGGACAGTCCAAATATATGCTTCATTTGCCTGACAGGACAGTGAGCCCCTTGTCTAACCGCTGTACCCATCAGTGGGTTGATTCCAGATCCTCATCACAGAAGATGAGGATGAGGAACTGGTCTCGTCCAGCAGCCAGCCGGTACCCCAAATCCATGGGAATCCCTCTAGGCTGAGTTCTGTGCACCTTTGCTTCTCGCGCCATCTCCTGGCACACACCGAGTTAAAAACAAAGTTAACCACCCAGGGGCTCTTCCTCCAGTTCTGGGGACGGAGATTAGGTCACACTAACCGTATTGGTCAATAAGATAATGGCCACGAAATCCTACTCTCAGTAAACACGCCCAATGACCCAATGAGAGCTTCTCCTCCACAGGCTCCGCTTACATGGCCGTGTGCTGTGAGCACGAAGGTGCTGACTTTTCTATGACGGCCGCCTATCAAAGCCGGTGAAGCCCGGGAGAGCACTCTCCGACGGCTCTCAAACACAAAGGAAATGCGCATTTTATAAAGTCAACCGTTTAGCACGTGCTAACGCGCGTTTCTATGGCAGTACTTTAAAAACCTTATTACTTTGCGAAGGAACCGATTTTATCACTACCTCAGCGAAGCAGAATACCCCAAAATCTTAAGCGAAAACTAGATAACAAAAGCAATATCGTTCCTACTTTTCAGCAGCCTTACTTCGCTACAGAGACCTCCACCACCCCAGTTTTAACATTCCTACAGCGCAGTGCAGCCCCTTCCACGACCCTGTGGGCGGCCCTGAAAAGGGCCTTTTTGGTTGTTTTGA